AATCAGTAACCAGTAAGAAAAGTGAGACCTAAGGGATTAGCCCTTGGGCAGCACAAATTTAGGAGATTAAGGGAGGAAGAGAGGATGTGGATTTGAAGGTGGTTTCAAATAAAGAGGAGGTCAGCAGACTCAAGTGCCACAAAGGAGAAAGAGGATTGAGACAAAATCATTGGATTTGACCCTTAGAAGTCATTGTTAACTTTTAAAACCTTCCGCAAGAGCAACTGGGCAATATGTATCAAGAGTCAGAAAAAAAGTAGACGCTTTTTCCCAATAATTACACTTTTGGGAATCTTGCCAAAGGAAATAATCCTAAACTTGGAAAAGTTATCTGCATAAATGTTTATTACAAGAGTTATTTAGAAAGAAGGAGAATGGAAATAGACTAAATGCTCAAAAAAATGCTGAACTAAACTAAGGTAGGTTCATCTGATGATCTATTAAACAGTCATTTTTAAAGCATAACATGACAGTCTTTGTATTAACAAACACTTATCTTTTTAAAATATCATTTCATTTTTAAATATCATTTCCAAATAAAAAGAGTAAGATTCCCTTAAGGAAATGCCTGATTACAAGTCTGCAACAGGGGAAGTACAAGTTGAGTCTGGAATATCTTGTGTAAGAAAGCTAGTAAGTGCTTAAAAATTGATGGAACCAAGTCAAAAGGACACAGAAGCTTTCTGAAAGGGCTTCTATTAGACAAATTTGGGACAATTTGATCATCAAAAAGAATATTGATAGTAATGAATTAGATCACATTGAATTAAAACGAATTTTGAGACCATAGGAGGGAGGGGCAAGGGGAGAGAGAGGGAGGGAGAGACAGAGACAGAGAAGAAGAAGGGGGGGGGGACTCTTCCTTACAGAAGTATTCCAGATAATAAACGCAGAAGAAATGACAGACTAGAGAGTCACCATTTTACAATCCCAGTATAATAACAAATGTAAACATAGATCATCATGGAAACTAAAAACACTGGGTAAAACATTGGGAGCAAATAGTTAAAAGGTCTTAAGTCGTCACCCCAGAACTCACTTTAATTTGTAAAGAGAGACCTGATGAACTCCAACTTAGCCAAGTGGTCACGCCTAGCATCACCAGTAAAGGGACAAATGTGCACTATTGGCCTGTCAGTGTAACACACTGGGAAGTCCACAACATCCCCTATGTAGTCATCTTTTCAAAGCTGAAAAGTTTTTTCAAAAATGTTTAATCTGAATCTAATCATGAGAAAACTAAGGAAAAATCCAAAACGTAAGACATTCTACATGACAACTGCCCTGGGCACTTCAAAACAATCAATGTCATGTAAAACAAACTAGCAACAATAAAATGAAGAACTATTCAAGATTAAGAGACTAAAGAAAGTTAAACAAATGCAATGGGGTAACCTTGATTAAATTCTGAATCATGAATATATATTCATTGATATTCAGCAATGAGGTGTGTAGCACTTTCTAGGATGAGTTCATGAACTGAATTGTCCAAACTTGTACACACATATGTGTGTGTGTTTGTGTGTGTGTGTGTGTGTGTGTGTGTGTGTGTGTGTGTGTGTGTGTGTATATATATATGACATTTTGGGAGGAAAATAGAAAAAATATTAATATAGACTCTATAATAGACAATGCTATTGTGATAATGGTCTTATGGCCCTATAAAAGAATTCCTTATTCTTAGGAAATGACTGCCGTAGTATTTAGAGCTGAAGTGTCATGATAGTTGCAACTTGAAATCAAATGGTTAAGGAAAAAAGAAAAACAGATAGAGCAAATATGAATCTAGGTGAAGGGTATACAGATTTCCATGGTACTTTCTTTTAACTCTTCTGTAGGCTTGAAATTTTTTGAAAAAAATGTAAGGAAATAAAAATTACATAACAAAAATGGAGAAATTATTCAATGTTAAGTAAAAAAATAAGGACACAAAATTGGATATACCACAGTTATAGCTATATAAAATAAGAACAAGAGAGATGATCTTTATTTATTTCAGCATTTGTTAAGCTCCTGCCACACGACAGGCTCTGCACTAAGTGAGGAGAACACCCTGTTTAACTTCAGAAGCCTGATTCTATGGTGTAATGATTGACATGCTTACCATTTCACATGCAAGACTTTGGATCTGGCCAATTCCACCCAAATTTCAGAGTAGCTTTGCTATGACCACATCACCTCTGTGTCCCTGGTTCCTAGCAAGCTGCCTCGCCCCACGAGGTGCTCAACAATGCCTGCTTCCAGGAGCCCGTACTCTGGTGAGGCAGGAAAGTACATTAGCAGATAATTTAAAACAAGATTAAGTACATGGTACACATAGGTATTACGAGGTCGGACAATTAAGTTTGCAAACTCATCCTAGAAAAAGCGCTACATTCCTCGTTGCTGAATATCACTACAATCACCTTCGCAGTACTCCCCTTGGGAAGCTATGCACTGACGCCAGCACCTAATCACCAAAGCAATTTTGGAACTCTTTTTTCTGGAATGGCCATCAAAGCTGTTGTCATATTACCCTTAATGTCCTGAATGTCATCAAAATATCTTTCCTTCAGTATTTCTTTTATCTTCAGGTAAAGAAAGAAGTCATTGGGGTCCAGGTCAGGTGAGTAGGGAGGGTATTCCAATACAGTTATTTGTTCACTGGCTAAAAACTCCCTCACAGACAGTGCGGTGTGAGCTGGTGCATTGTCGTGATGCAAAAGCCATGATGAATTGTTAGTAAAAAGTTCATGTCATCTAACTTTTTTACGCAGCCTTTTCAGCACTTCCAAATGGTAAACTTGATTAATTGTCCAGTTGGTACAAATTCATAATGAATAATCCCTCTGATAGCAAAAGAAGTTAGCAATATTGTCACAACAAGTTCACGAACTTAACTGTCAGAGCTCATATAGATTTTTAATTATCATTTAAACTCTACCTTTATGATATCTTTCCCCTCCTCATTTAACTTTATTTTCTACTCTCCCCCACTATGAATCCTCCCTTTCTTTATGGCATTCCGGTTCCCACTTCGCTCAGTTCACATTGAACCCTTCACTTGAAATGACCTTTCACTCCTTTGCTTTATTTGTGTAAATCTTACCCAGCTCAGGTCTACTTCCTCCATGAAATCTGTCTTATTTTGTGCAGACTTCATTGGTTCTATTCCTCTGAACTGTCAGCTGTACTTCTTAAACATATGTGGCTTCATTTGACCCCTACCACTGAAAGCATTTTACAGTTTTCAAAGCCTAGTCATATCCATCACCTCCCTTAATCCTCACACAACAGTCATCATGCCCCTTGCAGATATAAGGAAAGTAAGGATCAGTGGCATTGAGTATCTTGCCCAGAGATCTGGCTATGGCCTGCAACTGTTGGACCTGGTAATTGAGACCTTCCAATATGGATTAACTGGACCATTCTTCTGGTATTTATTATCACTATGTTTTTAAAGCTGCCTACTTTTACAATGTGCACATGTTATTTTCTTTATATACTTCATGAAGCCAGGCAGAATATCAGATATTTCAGTATTTCCTACAGTCCTGCTACTCAAAGTGTATGGGGAGACCAGAAACATCTATATCAACTGGGAGCCTATTAGAAGAACTACAGTCTGGGACCCCACCCAGCTAGACTTACAGAATCAGACACTGCAATTAAACAAGTCAGCCAGGAGATTCATGTTCACATGAAAGTTTGAGAAACACTGTCCTGTAACTCCAACTAGAATACTCATAAAGCAGAAACTCAACAAATATTTTGAGACCTGGAGTCCTGGGAGTCCTAGGGGGTTCTCAGTTTTGCCATCACTTCATTCTCTACTCTCCCAGCTTTAAGCCCCCTTCCCTTTGGGACCTCCGATGGCTCTTTGCTCCCTCAGAAGACAGAGATGAGTCTAAGAGTGAGGAAGACACTGAAGCAGTGCCCAAGGGGATGATGGTGAAGTGAAGCTGCTACCTTTCCAGCAGAGCCAAAAGCAAATGTTGGAGTCGGTTTCAGGGCTAAAACATTTCTGGGGAGAAATTGGCTTTACTTCTAAGACAAACATGCCTATCGCTTGAGCATCCGAGCCTTGGGAGGATAAGAGGTTTGTGATAGACAACATTGGAACTGTTTCTAGACTTGATTTATTGACTTGTCTGTTTCTATTCTGTCACTAATCTGATTGACAATGAAATCCGGGATGTGACTTGAAGTGATTTCTGCGTGCGTGGGCTGCAGCCAGGGCCTGGTGGGCCTGCTCGGAGCTGGTGCTCCTGAGGATGAAAGGCGTTTGTGCAAGGGCTGTTTGCTTGTGAGGGGTGCGTGTGTGGAAATGACACGGGAGAAGTGGGGACCTCTAGGGAGTTGATTGTAATGGGAGATGCGTCTGCCTGGCTTGGGAAGCAATGTGGGTTCGAGACTGTGGGGTGCGAGCAGTTGGATGGGAGGAGGTAGGTGGGGCTCCCACTTTAACACGCGGTATCAGACACATCTTAGGAACAGCCCCTTTTCTCGCCCTCCCTAGCTTTTCCCTAGGATATCATTTCCCCGTTAGGAGGCCTTGGGCAGGGGCGGGGCGGGACCCGAGAGCCGGGAACCCTGGAGTATGAGGACTCCCCTCTTGGTGTCGCGCGCGAGCTGGAAGCTGGGGAGCGAGAACAGATGGAGACAGGTGCGCCCCCACAGGGGCACGCGTGGTGACACGTGGCGGATTCATCCTCAGTCCAGGAGTGGCGTCCCCTGCCCTGGGGTCGCCCACTTCACGTCTGGTGAGTCCACACCGCTGGCAGCCGATGCCCCCCTTCTCCGCCCGGGTTGGGGTAGGTCGACCCGGTTAGGGAGCGGAACCCCGCCCCTCCCTTGTTACTGAGGAGTCCCG